GACTTATTTTTAAATGAACTCTTTCATAATTCATGGGAAATATATTTATATATTAGATGCAAGTCTATGTAAATCACAGCTCTGAATCTACATGTATTCTACATGTATCAACTCATAATAGAGTAGCTTATACAATTCTATAAGTTTAACTGGTCTTACATTCAATATTCACATATGCAAAGTAAAAAAACGATCTTTACTCATAGTAGAATATATTCTACTTTCTTGATGAATTTTCTTATTCCTAAAAGTACCTTTGCTTTTTCTGTTTTAACTTATTTTCATTTATTTCTTAACTCTATGGTAATCCAAAACTGTCTTCAAACACTCATACATGGAAATTGGTGTATGGAAGGCATCTAATAAGTCATTGTGGCTTAGTTAGAAAAATATTTGTTCTCGAGTCAGTAAGTCCTTGATTAAAATCCTGGCTTCTTTTATTACCATGCATAACCTTCTGCAATTTATTGAGCTTCTTCATTACTTTTTCAACTTGTAAAACACAACACTTTCCTTATCTACTTTCTGTGATGTATGAATGAGATAGTGGGTGAACAGCATTTAGGACAGTGAGTGGCAGGTACATACACAGCCTCAGTAAAGGGCAGCCATTACTATTAGACCCAAGTGAGGACAAAGCATGGCTGCCCAACCACCTGGCCGCAGGAGTACACAATGCTGCACTATGCTCTATCTTCTATACCATTCCGCTGCCAAGGAGAAATACTCATATAGATAATTTAGCAGCTACGTCCATGGTGTTACATACGTATATATTTTATCTATGGAAACCCATTCTTCCGGAGTGTTTTTAATCTCCTCCATTGTATGAGCCCTGGCTATCTTTTTACCTAAGACGACAAGGCCTAGAAAGACCCAAGATTCAGTCAGCATTGAGGAGACCTCTCCTGTCTTTTCTTACATATGAAGATATGCTTTTCTTTGTGCTGATTTTTCTCTTCCTATCTAAGTCTTAGAATAGATATGAGCTAGGAAAAAGTGGAAATGAGGTCTTTAACTTTGCCTTTATTCTACACAAAACAATGCCTCATGTGCCTGACCCCCCCAAAAGCATCATATTGGGGTTTGGTAGCAAAGCAAAATAGTAATAAAAATGTGTAGGTCTGATCTTAAGCTTGGCATACACTATTTCTTCTGGGGACCTGGAAAGAACTGACAGTAATAAATAAGACTATATTATTACATGCCTTATGAAACCCCGTGGTCAAATATTCAATGTGATACAGCCATTTGCTTTGCAATTTCTTACTATTTGACTGTGTCCATAGCTAGGCTGGCAGAGTCTCAAATAGCACGGACAATGAGTGGTTAGAAAAAACACACGTAGAATCACTTCCAGCACTGACTCTCATTTTCTGCTTTTTTCCGTCATTAACTTCTGTAATGTATTTGTCTCAGTGACTGAACTTCACTTCCTTAGCTTTGAACTTTGATACACATTCTAGGGTATAACTTTCATTTATTCATGTAGTCTTATAAACAAACAAAAGCTAAAGTATGATTACAAGTTTGACCTTTGGGTAACCACTGCCAGATCCCTGGACTGACATTTCTCGGTAAATCATGCAGATGGACATAGAGTCTCCTAAACAAGTGATCTAAATCCCGTTGCATTTAAAAATACTCATTTTGTCATAAAAAATTAACACACATGCAAATAGGTATACAAAACAAAAATGTAATCTGCAAAATATTTAAGGTGACTTGACTTGACTCAGAGAAAGATAATGAACACTGCCAGCAGCTGTAAAGTCTTCTGTCCTATCTAGTTACTTTCTCATCTACTTTTCCAGAAATAGCCAGTGTCTTTGCCTTTATGACAATCTCTTGTGTTATATTCTTTGTGTTTAATATAATTTTGCATTGTTAAACATTAGAATTAAATTTCTCAGTTTCAAACTCAATTTTAAAAGAAATATCAGTATGTAAGTTTTTTTATTTGGATTTTTTTTCATGAATTATTCTGTGCAACATCTATTCTTGTTGTGTGGAGTTTACTGATTACTCATTATCTCTTAGGTGGTTATTTCACAATTCAAATGTTCATTCTAGTTTATTATTTAAGTTGCTTGCTAGTATTGGCCATGACGAAAATCACTGCTCTGCATATTCATATGAGGTTGGACGATTAACTTCTTAAACTCATCCTAGAAAAAGTACTGCATACCTCATTGCTGAATATTACTGCACTCACCCTTAGGATATTCCCCTTGGAAAGTTATGCTCTGAAGCTAGTGCCTAATCCACACTTTAAAGAAATTTTGGAACTCTTTTTCTGAAATGGCCATCAGAGCTGTCATCATATAGGTCTAACAATTAAGGACTCCCCTTGGCTATCTGGTGACCATAGTGATATTCAGCAGTGAGGTCTATAGAACTTTTCCTTTCTTTCTTTCTCTCTCTCTCTCTTTCCTTTCTTTCCTCCCTCCCTCCCTACCTCCCTTCCTTGCTTCCTTCTTTCCTTCCTTCCTTTCTTTTTTTTTTGAGACAGAGTCTCACTTTGTCACCCTTTGTAGAGTGCTGTGGCATCATAGCTCATAGCAACCTCAGACTCCTGGGCTTGAGTGATTTTCTTGCCTCAGCCTCCCAAATAGCTGGGAGGCTCTTGCCACAAGGCCCCGCAATTTTTAGAGACAGGATCTCACTCTGGCTCAGGCTGGTCTTGAACCTGGGAGCTCAGGCAATCCACCCACCTTGGTCTCCCCGGTGCCGGGATGACAGGCATGAGCCACTGTGCCCAGCCTTTGTAGCATTTTTTCTAGGATGAGATCATGAACTTATTTTTCAGACCTTTTATTCAAATACAATCGTGCATGTAATCACATAATATTTTTATTTCATATTAATACGAGTGTACAAATGATTAGGTTACAATGTCTGCATTTGTTAGCTAGAGTCCCTGTTATAGTTGTGTCCTGCACCCAGGAGGTGTGCCATATATACTTACGTTATGCCAATTAGGTGGGAGCACACCAATGTCCCTCCCTCATTTTCTCTCCCCTTCCTTTCCCTCCCCTCCTCCAACTTGCATTAAATTGAGTTTTTCTTTTGTGTGGGTGTGTATTAGTTCATCTACTGGCTTCATATTAGTATTAAGTACGTTGGATACTTGCTTCTCCGTTCTTATGTGATCACACAGTTTTTCTGAGTGTCTTCCTAGGTGTATACTTACTGGATCACAGCATAAGTTCAGTGCCAAACAGCTACTCCAGGGTCTATGTCAGGTTGCACTCCAACCAGTAATCTATGAGATTGTCTGTTATTCTACATCTTTTTCAAATCTCAGAATTTAGTTCCTTTTTAATTAAGTTCATTGTATTGGATGTGTAAGATTGTCTCATTTTGGGTTTAACTGGGATTTATCTAGTAATAATATTAACATATTTTTATATATTTATTAATCATCTAGATGTCCTCTGTTAGGAAATTTTTGTTCCCATCTTTTGCCCATACCATTCTAGATTATTTGTCTATTCTTAGCAGTAGAAGAAGTTTTTAATATTCTTTGGATTCTAGTTTATTATTTAAGTTGCTTGCTAGTATTGGCCATTATGAAAATCACTGCTCTTTCTCTGTTGAATATCTGTTAAATACCTGCTTCCACTATGTGGCTTGTGCTTTCATTTTGGGGGATAGCTTTTAATGAATAAAAAATTCTTAACCTTAATATTATTTATATATCTGTATACTATATTTTATAATCACTGCAACTGTTTCAAATATTTTCATGTTTAAAAGTTGTTCATAGTGTTACACTGATAATTCTTTGTTCATTTTGTTAGATAAATTGAAACTCAGTAAATATAAAATTGGATCTATGGTATTGTACATGTTATCAAGAGAGCTAAATTATACCTGCCTTGTGTAAAGTGTGTTCTGTATAATAGTCAGTTGGTCAATGTTGAACTATAATCATTGAATATGGGCCGTGATACCTCATGAAAATATTTCACTATGGATTTTTTTTTTTTTTTTTAGTTCTTACTGTAAATTATGGATGCTTGCAGGCAGAATGGGGACTGAAGACTCCATTCTTGGCAAAGGAAAATACCCTCAGAAAAGGGAAAAACAGAGAAATAAGCTGAGCAAGGCATACTAAAAACAGTTTAGATAGTTTACTTTTAAACCAGCAGTTAAATTCCTTATCTGAGCAATTCCTGCTTTTCCTAGACTCCTGGCCTGTTGGGGATACAGCTTGCAAACACCCCTGTTGGGTCTGCAAGAAGAAATAATGGCCACAGAGGAAGCTGCGTGCAAGGCCTGAGAATGAACATAATTAACCAGGCCATCCATGCCCAGTCAACAGTCAAAGCAAATACCTGTTGGGGGGACTTGTCTTATGGCCAGGGCAGCAATCAAGGGAAGAACTTGAGCCCTGAAATGTGGACAGGAGGGCTTATACACCCTTATCATAGAGAAAGATGCCTCTGGGTAGAGGTCAGAGGAAAATCCTTCTGTTCCACTGTTTCTTCTGATGACACTGACACCATGGCATCTACTCCACAGTGAACTAGTGGGGATTAACCTCCCCCAAGGCATCTGTGTATGTAACTACAGACAGGAGGCGGCCCTCACACAAGGCTCAGGTTTCGGATTTCTCAAGGCTGCTCAGACCCTTATACTTAATGATTATAGACAGAATAAGAACTATCATGCTTACTCAGAGAAACTGCTGACATTTTTGTTCCCTTCCTCAGCTTAGCCTCTGGGCTAAATGACATAATAGCCTTCAATAAAAGCTGAGTGGAACAAATGCTAAGGGCCATTTGTGGGAACCCCACAAGCCAGTGGTGGTCCCCTGTGTTCCCATATTTGAAAACTCTATTCTGCGTGTCCTGTCTCTTTACCTCTTGCCACTTTTAATTTTAGTTTTCTTCAGTAGATCACTGCCAGCTCCACAGGTCTTAAAGGACCCTGCCTCCAGGGTGGGACCCCAGCAGACACTATCTTCATCTGTTTTGTGCTAAAGAATGAGAGCATTTGAGGTCTACTCTGATGGAGCTTTTCTTGTAGCTGCGCATCTTTAGGAATACCTTAGAGAGTAACTGATTTTGCTTTGCTCACAGCACTATTTGTTAGATCTGTGTAAAGGAACTATAGACAGAGTTGCTGAAAGTATGAAAGACTACATAATCTTTTTTTTTTTAACCTTATATGTTGGCCTATCCCACAGATTTGTACTATTCTTGAATGTCATCGCTTTGGAAAAAGTATAATTTGAACTCATTCATGTTTAGAAATTGAGGTGCAAATAGGTCCACCTACTCTAGAAATGACCCTAAAGTATATTGCCTGAAGAAATTATGTCCTAAAGATTTTTGGTCACAAATTTTTGAAGTTTTCATCAGTATATCCATACTCAAATGGAGATAAAAAAAACTAAAATAAAAGAATCATGGGAGACAGGACAACTGTGGATTAAGCATCAGTTTTTTTAAAAAGGGTTATCTTGAAAATAAACATAGAAACTAAGGTGACCTGGAAGGATAATGGGAGAACCACACATGAGAAATTCTTTGAATAGAAATTTATTGATTTTTACAAAAAAAAATTAACATAGCTTTTGTACAAGCTTGATAATCTAAGTTTTTGAAATTCTATTATCATTTTTCAAATGTCCGAAGCAGTGAAATTAAATGGTAACCTTAGATTGATAGTAGGTCATTTAAAAATTGAAGCTGTTAGTATTAGCAATTATTTATCTGTGCAAGTTAAAATTTCCTCCATATTCTACAAAAGATAAGCTAAAAACAGTCAGAAAAAATAAAACTAGAAAGCTACTCATGTATTTTCATATTATAAGGTGGATGATTTTTAAAAAAATTACTATTGGATAAACTTCAGTATAGGATTTTGGGCTTATCCAAACAGGGATGTGGATTAACATAATAAATACATAGCATAAATATCAAGTTTAAGTGCACATGTAGCAATAAAATATATATTTCCCATTTTGTGGATAATCTATTAAAATTTCATTTAAGCACTTAAATACTGTATATCACTATAAGCAAAATTTGAAAACTTATGCTCTTAAGAAAAAAAGAAATCAAATGAAAGTCATAGTGGTCCATGGGGCACATAGAACATTTTTCTCAATTGAGTCTAAGAATGGCATTTGTCTTTGAAAGACACAAATTTTATGATTTTCTCAATTATCTTTTCAAATGGTGTTTATTAACTTCCAGATTATGGAATGTATGGAAATCCCCAAAATAGCTTTATGGTATATTTGAATAACCTGGAATCCCTTCCAGAATTTTTTCTATCTGTATTTTTGGAATGTGGAGGATAGACTGAATCAGCAATCACAATTTTACTTCTTAGTAACTTAATAATTTAGTAGAAGTTATAACAGAGTCAAAGAGATCATTCAACCCTAGCCCCAAACAAAAGAGAGCTGAAGGAAAAGCTGTGATTTTTCTATTCTTATAGGCTTTGTTTATGTTATAGAAATTCCTATTTGTTATATGAATTGAAAATGATTTTTCCTTTTTTTATTTCAAAATATTGCAGGGGTACAGATATTTTTGGTTCCATGAATTGCTTTGGTAACTTGAGCCACAGCTATAAATGTGTCTGTCACCCAAATAATTCTTTCAGTGTCATTGAAAGACTGAGCATTAGTTATCTTTCTAGACTCTGTGAAGTATTAAACTTTTATCTTCATGGAAGAAAATTAATCAAATAAATATTTAATATTTCAGAATCTGTCATAACTTCAGGTTGATTAGAATAAGTTATCCTAAATATGTCAGTCACATCATACATATGGGTTTTGGTTGTTTATGTTTTATTTATTTTCTTAAGGCAACTGTAGAGCTTATATGTATCAATGAAACTGCACTGTGTTCACACTTCTGTATTCACCTCTACTTCCCTTTGGTTTCTGAGGTTAGGATGCTATTTGCAGTTGCTAGAATCATTACTTTTAATATAAGTAGTGTTCCTTTTAAATTTTGTTCCAGGTGTATGAATGTATGTTCATATCCCACCAGTGAACAATGGGCACTTGCCTTCCTATCCACATCTTTATGTAGTCTCTCAGAAATCTCTCAGCTTAGTCCGTTATAATTTCCTTCTTAATAAGCAGCGTAATTGCTTTCCTCCTACATATCATTATACTAGATGAGTGATCTAAATGCTGGCAATTTTTTTTTATTATTCTATAAACTTGAATTGAAAATCATTAGTTTTCTAGACTAGGACTGTTCAATAGAACTTTCTTCTATGATGGCAACGGTCTGTATTTCAGCTGTCTAATTCAATTGCTATTGCTATTGAAAATTCAAAATGTGGCCAGTGCAACTGAGGATCTAATTTTCAAATTTTATTCAATTAATTTAAATTATAATAACTTATAGGTACCATTTTTGGCAGTATAGGAAGAAAGATAACAGATAGAAAGGTATCTGCCTAAGTATATTTCTGGAACATTTCTTGTAGTTGTACAAAGTATGTTGACATACTCACTCTTTCTTTGAGCATAATAGCAATTTCCAAAAATTCCAAATGCTATATGACATTTGAAAACTATTGTGATATTACTTAAGAGGTCATAGCCCTTGTAATTCACTCATGTCTATTGTGTAGATATCCAGTCTCCTAAATGAGAGAAATAAGATATCCTAAACTAATGCATCACTTCATCCTCCTATTTTCTTATTTTTTTTATCATTTTCAAAAGAATTACTAAAAATGATTCACTAAAATACTTCTTCACTGAAGATTTTTGGTGAAAATAATTTACTAGGTTTTACTGCTATTTTGTGTTGCTCTTGTTGCACCGTCTTTAGTTAGCATTCACACCTTAAAAAATAGCTTGCTTTAGAACTTGAATGGCTACATTACAGAAGCATTTTTCTTTGTGAAAATATTTTCCCAATTTTACACATCTACTTCATGACACTTTACTGTCTTATTTTATTCACCCTTTTGATTTTTAAAAGCATGCTGTTTTATTTAATGACAATCTATCTCGGTAGTTGACAACTTAGGTTGTAAAAAGTGGTTGTTTTGTTTTAACACTTGGCTTTTCAGTACAAATAATAAGCCCAAGATTGTGTTTTGATATAACTTATTCTCTTTTCATTTTAAAAGTAACTATTATTTTCAATATTTTCCAATTGCTTATATTTTACCATAGTTTTCTCTTTGAAAGTTGATAAGCTCATAAGTTGCACCCACATTTTACTCCCTCATCTTAATGTGCCACGTGCTGTGATCAGTATTTATCAGAGCTAAATTGTCTGCACTTGCTTCTGCCCTCTACTCAGTCATATTCGATGTATCTGCTTGCTCTGTGGGTCTAAATAATTTGTTTAAGAAGGCAGTCCCTAATTCTACCTTAAAATCTTACCTCTACATTTTATTAGAGTCAGTCTTCTGTGAACTTTTGTGTTGAAAAGATAATTAAAGTTTCCCAGTTCTTTACTTGCAGTTTCCTAATTGCCATTAACCTATCCAGACAGTTCATCTATGGAATAATTATGTTTCAGGTGTTACTTGTAAGGACTATATGTCTCATAATTATTTAATCAACAATTGTTGGAGTGTAGAATACTTATTCTCAAGAATAGTCAATTGGATCTTCACAGGGTTAAGAAAATTATTCTCAATTATTAATTTTGAAAAAGGGCAGAATATAACTTATTTAATTATTTAGTAGGAATAAGTGCTGAAACCCATAATAAAATAAAATTGAGAAATAAGAACCATTGGATGGAACGTGGCCTACAAAGTATCACAGTATCACAGAGGACTGAGGATAAGAAACGGAAGGAAGCTTTTCTGGTGAAGGTGATATTTTTCAAAATTTTTACTTATTTTTGTTTTGTGATTCCATCTCTTCTGGTTCTGACAGTACTTCATGTTACTGTCATGAATTTAGTGAGATTATCAGTTTACCAGTAAACGTTATCATTCTATTTATGTCAAATACTTTGGGAATCTTTCCCAAAGCCAGAAAGTGTTTGTCACATAAGCCAGCCAACCAACCGACAAAGACATGCCCCAAGTTAAAAAACATCTTTTAATTTTCAGATTTATACTTATTAAGTCATTTAGTTAAGAACCTTGGAATAAGGGAAACTATAATAGTAACTATTTTAAGAAATAATAAACTGCCAAAACTTCAAAGACATAATTCTGAAGTCATTCAATACGTTGAAGACCTATTAGTGAATTGTCTCACTTTTCTTTGTTACTCAGTAGAGTGTGATGAATCTTAGAAGACTGATTTGCAAGATTTTATGTTATGTTGAGAGAGAGGCCACATTGATATCACGTGGCTTGTCTATCAACACAACACATAAATGTATGTAATATCTATATAATATATAATTTAGCACATATTATTTATTGAAACTCCAACACAAATTTTAAACCTATGACCAGTTTTGCAACCTAATTTTAATAATAAGTATTTAAACACTTGTCATCAGCAGATAAATAGTCAAGAAAGCAACAATTGCTATTAATCTTGTCTCTTGCTACCTAGTTTTGGGCTCTCAACACTTCTCTTTAATCTTAGGACGGCAGGGGTGGACTTGACCTTTGCCTTTTTCTTTCTTTCATTTTCTTTGCTTTTAAAGACATTCTGAAGACCTCAGTGAAACTGATAACTCACAAACAAAAGTATTGCAAGTTATCAAATGAGATAGATCACAAACACCAATCACAAGCATTGATCTCTTGTGATCTCTCACGACTTCTTCAATGATTCTTAGTGAAATCACTTTTTCATCTTATTTATCACAATAAGCAATAGTTAAGCGATTTAAAAATTAAACACATTATGAAAAACTATACTGGACCTTTTGTTAAGGGAGTAGAACTTCTTAATAGATGTCAGAGAACTTAGGCAAATGGAACTTCCCATAACTTCACATCCACATTCCTTTTGTTGTTAAAGGCAACAATCAGCAATAACATTGGCAGCTAATCAGGTAACACTGGAGATTTGACATCCGCCTCTGACAGCTCAGTGTAGCTTCCATTCATTACCAGGACATTAGCTAACAGAGATGGGAAGGGACAGTCTACCCCGCCCACTCCCACGTTGGTGTGTTACAGAGAAAGATTGATTTAAGTGACAAAGTCTCAAA